CCCAGGCTGTGGGGGGACCCCTGGGTGGGGGGGGGAGGAGGGTGTTGCCCCCAGGCTGTGGGGGGTGGGTGGGTGAGGCGACTGGGCTGTGGGGGGGTAGGAGCTGGGAATGGGGGGCTGCCCCTGTTTATGGCTGTGTCCTTTCCATCAGTCGGGGGGGGGCTAACCCTGGGCAGTTGCACCCCCCATTCCCCCCTTTTCCCCTGCCCTGGGTGCTGTGGGTCTGTACTGGCTGGGTCTCCTCCAGCCCCCTGCTCTCTGCTATGGGCAATGCCCCCCTGCGCAGGCCCCCTCTTGTGCACAGGTTATACTCCTGTTCCCCCCCCCATCCACCCTGCCCCTCTGAGTGTCACAGCCAAGTTCCAGTCCTGTGGGGTGCCCCCCCCCGTGTAGGGTGAGGGGGGAGTCTGTATGCTCAACACCCCTCCCCCCAATCCCTCCAGACCCACACATCCCATTCCTCCCTTCAAGCCCTACTGTACCACGCCCACAACCCGAGCGGCTGTGTTACATCAGGCCCCGTTACAGTGCTCCAGACCCATCAGTTTCCCCCCATGCCGCTCTCCCCCCAGCACCCTGGGGCACTGCCTGCTGGTGTTCACAGCCTCGTGTGCACCTCACTGGAGCAGGAGCTGCGAAGGGAGCACTGACCCAAGCAGGGACTGCCCCCCACCGTGTGACTCAGGCTCACCCCCCCGGGGCGTTTTCTGGAGCGCAGGGCAGCAACTGGCTCGTCCAGGGAGCGCAGCGGGCTAGGAAGCTCTGTTGGGGCAGATCCGGGAGGGGAGGGGTTATGGGGTGGGGTGGGGTGAACAGGCTGAGAGGTCTGGCTGAAAACAGCCCAAGGCCCCAACAACTGATCCCTCCCGTCCCACCCCACAGCGGGCGGAACGGGGAACTCAGCACAGGTCTGCAGGAAGCCATGGACTCTGGCGCTGTGAGCTTCTCCCCCGCAGCGGTGCCCTGGCTAATACCTCTGGTGGCACGACAAGCAGGGTGACTTGTCCCCCACCCCCATTTCTCTCTGGTACAAGGCGGCCCAGCCTGACCATGATGACGCCGTTCCCGTGTCTCTGCCCAGCCCTGCCAGGGAGGATTATGGAGCTGGGAGATCAAAGCTGCCCCGGTCAAGTCCTATGTTTTGGGAAAACCCGGCCAGACCTGCTGGGGTGCTGGGAGATCCGGCCACGGGGACTCTGCCGCTGGGGCTTGTGTGTTCTGCGCTTCTCCCCCACCTTGGAGTCACGGATCCAGGGGTCAGGGCAGTACTTTTAAACGGTCCCTTGGCGCACCCCTGACAGTGGGCCAGGCCCCCAAGGGGTCCCACGCTTCCTTCAGGGCGTGCCACGGGGCCTGGGCTGCAGCCCTCCTGCAGACCTGTGCCGAGTTCACACGTTCCACCTGCCAGTTCGGTCGTCTTACCGGGTCCTCCCCTGAGCTGGGGCGGCTCCAGCCAGACCCTTCCCACCCCCCGGTACCGTCCCGGGCAGTTACACAGCACCAGTGCCTCCGGCTCTGCCCTTGAAGCAGCCTTTTAACGGCCCTCCCCGGTAGCACTCCCTGGGCGAGCCAGTCACTGCCCTGCACCTCGATCATAAACCGCTGCAGAAACGTCCTGTCGATGGTTAGCTCCTTGGCGCGGGGGGGGGGGGGGGTCTGCTCCTGGCGGTGTGCTGGGAGCTGTGCACATCACACCCTGATCTCGACCGCCGTAATAACCCCGTTAACTAATGACCGCGCCGCAGTAGCAGGGCAGCTAATATGCCTGGGGCTGGGGGGGAGTCTGGCTATAGTGCTGGGTTGGGGAATGGGGTATGGCTCGGGGGGGGGGGGGGGGGGGGGGGCCTGTGCCCTCTAGGCTCTGATCCAGCCCCAGGGCAAGGGGGCTGGCTGGCTCAGGGGGTCCGGAATGGGACACGGGGCCGTCCCCCTCTGGGGCATTGATTCTGAACTGTTGGGGGTGGGGAGACGACAGAAAATCACTCCAGCCGATGACCGCTCAGTGGCCCCTCTATGAAACGAGTTGCTGGGTCTCAGCCTGTCTCCAGGTGAGACAGGAAAGCAACGCTGAGAACCCCCCAGCGTGGCTGAAGTTCATGGGGGCGGGAGCTGCATAGGCCACCGTTGTGAGGCCGTGGGGGCACCAGAGACCTATAACTGCCCCTGGGCTGGAGGAGTGGGAGTGGGGGGGTCCTCTGGGGATGGGCTGGGGTGTGGGGGCAGGGGCGAGGGGGAGCCTGCAAAGGACTGTTAGATTATCTAGTCTGGCCCCCTGGAGATCACAGGAACCCCGATGCTGCCTGGTTAAGTCTGTAGCCAGCCAGCCGGGGAGGGGGTGTTTTCTACCCCTTTCCGAAGTGGCGGGGAATGAAGGGGCCCTGCCCCCGTTTGCCCTGTGGCTTTGTAGCCCGATCTGCCCTCTGGGCCCCTGCTTGGCAGCTGAGTGCGGTGACTCAGCCAGCGGGCTCAGCTGTGGGGCTGGCTGGGAGCTCCTGCCTGGGGGGGGGGGGGGGGGGGGGGGGGGGGGGGGGGGACTGGGACACTGGAAGTTAGATCCCTCCAGCCCCACCCCAAAGCGGGAGGAGGTCTCAGGGAAGCATCTGGAACAGGTGGCTAGAAACTGAAGCCGGGTCCCAGGCTGGAGTGGGGTCTCTCTAGGGGGTTGGGGGTAGGTTTAAGGGGGAACCTGCCACATGCAGAGGGAGGCAGGCGCTGGCTGGATTGAGCGTCCTGTCGCCGCCCAGATGGGAAATCCTACTCGGCTGCTGGGGGAGCGGCTGGTTCCTTCTTGGTTTGGGGTGCCGGCTTTCTGGGGGGCAGGGGGCGGATGGAGGGGAGGATTACAGCGCCTGGGTTAGTGGCGGAGGGTGGCTGGTCCCATCCCTTGGCCCAGCGTGATCTGGGGGAGGCTGTAACTCTGGGATCCTCCTTGCCTGTCTTGTGCAGTGTGCCGGAGAGGGTGGGTCTGTGCCTCTGCGGCCGGGAAGGCCGGTTCTGGGGGGTAGGATGTGGGCACGACCGGCCCGCGGGGAGGGTGAGCGACTAGGATCTGGATTCGTCTCTGGGTGACACCTGAGCCGGGCTATGGGGCCTTTCCGCTCTAGGGGGCACTGGCTCTGAACCTGCCCGAGGGCTGGGGTGCTGGCTGGCTGCCCTGGGGGTGGGGGAGTTCCTTGTGTCTCCCTCCAGCTTCTGCTGGGGTTGGGACGTCCCGAACTGTCAGCCCCATAGACTGCCCCTGCTCTGGAGTGTTCCCCGGTGGGAGGGAGGGATGGTGACAAGCTGGCTCTGGCAGTATGAATCCAGAGGTCCCAGGTTCGATCCTCTGTGCTGGCCGCTCGCCTGGCGTGCGGGGTTACCCCTGCTGGGTCTCTGGGCGGCTTTTCCTGTCCCCCCAAATCTCACTGAGCCGCCTCTGTGTCCCCCTCCCCAGTTGCAGACCTTCGGCGTCCCGTCTCCGTGCCATACCTACCAGGATCTGACCAGCGGGGTCCCCATTGCCCAGGTCCTGCACAGGATGTAAGTACCGGCTTGCAGCCCCCAGAGACGGGAGGCGTCTAAAGCTAGAGTGGGTGTGGGGGGGTGCTTGACTGGGGCTCATCCCTCTCTGACCAGCCTCAGAAGCGACTGGGCTTGGCTCTCTGGTGCTTTGGGCTCCCGGGGCAGGGGGGAGGGAGGGGGCGAGGATTTCGGAGCAAGGGGCCTGTAGGGAGGACAGTGGAGCTGATGGGAAGCCTGTACCCACGTCCGCCCCCACCTCCTGCCCCTTGTCCCAGCAAGATTCCAGATCCCCGCCCTGGGCGTGGGCGGCCAGCAGGGAAACTGGATCCTGCCCTGAGGTGGCAGCTGCTCCAGTCGGGCCAGGAATTCCCCCCCCCCCCCTCCCCCCCCCCCCCCCCAATTCCGCCCTGCCCTGCCCCTTCCTCCCTTTCAGAGACTCCTCTTGGTTCAACGAGGCCTGGCTGCTGCGGATCAAAGATGACACCAGCGACAACTGGAGGCTCAAGGTAACCGGCTCCCTTAAAATGGGGAGGGGGGGGGAGTTTTAAACCATCTCTTCACCCCCCCACACACCCAATTGCGAAGGCCCTGGCGTCCTCTCAGGTAGGGCTGGGTGTGGACAGTCCCAGTCTGTTCGCATTCCCCCAGGACTGTAGGATCTGGGGGGCAGGAAGTTGCCATGGGGTGGGGGAGCTGAAGCCCCTCCCCACTCTGCAACTTCCCAGCTGGCTGGTCCCATCCTCTTTGGGGGCTTGGCTGCCCCCCACCCTGCTTACGAGCCAGCCGTGGTGCCCTCCCCAGGCCGAGCGCCAGTGTGCTCTGGGAGCCGCCTGCGCAGGGTGGTGGGTTCTCAGCGCTGCCCCCGGTGAGATCGGCGTCAGCCCAGCCGGGGGATGGGGGTGGGGGGGTCCTGCCTGGATCCGGTGCGTGCGGCAATAGAACCCTGCAACGCTCTCTTCCAGGTGAGCAACCTGAAAAAGATCCTGCAGAGCGTGCTGGAGTACTGCCAAGATGTGAGTGTCCCCCTCTCCGGAGAGGGAAGGGGGGTGGCGGCTATTAGGTGTCCTACGGTAGCACCTAGAGGGCCCCAGCTGCGATCAGCCCCCTGCCCTGCAGAGCTCATGGGCTAGAGTCCCACAGGACGGGAGGGGAAACTGAGGCACACAGGGACAGCGACTTGCCCAAGGTCCATGGCAGAGCCAGGACTAGAACCCAGGTGTCCTGATTCCTAGCCCATGCCCTGTGCACTAGACCACACTGCCCTCTCTGAGGAGGTGGGGGGGAGACGGCCCCGTTCCAACGACCCCTGGATGGTGCCTTCACTCTCCCTGGATGTTACCCCAATAGGCCTGGCCCGGGGGGGCTCAGGTAGGTCAGCCTGGAAGCCACAGTCCGGTGGGTCTGTGCCCTGACCCCCTTGGGCGCCAGCTCGAGCAGGTAGGGAGGAGGGGCAGGGGGTGTCTGTGTAGGGGGCAGGGAGTGTCTCTGGGCCCCCCCTGCCTCCCCAGAACCCTCCATCTCTCCCCCAGGTCCTGGGTCACCAGATCTCAGAGCGCCACCTGCCCGACGTCAACCTGATCGGGGAGTTCTCGGACACCTCGGAGCTGGGCAAGCTGCTGCAGCTGGTGCTGGGGTGTGCCATCAGCTGTGAGAAGAAGCAAGGTGTGAGACTGGGGGGCGGGGGGGGCTTGGCTCGGCTCGGTGTGGGGGAGAGGCAGGTGGTTACTCCCTGCCCGGGGGGGGTGTGTCTCTCCATGTGCTGTGTTGCATGTGATTTTTGGAAGGTGGCATTCTGGGGTCCCCAAAAAGCGTGGCTAGTGCAGGGGAGGGGATCGAATCCCAGCTCCTCCTCCCCTTCTCCCCCCCCCCAAAATCCTTCCTCCCCACCCCGCAGCACAGGGATCCCTCTGTGGAATTACCCTGGGGGCTACTGCTCTGTGCCTCCTGCCCTCAGCCCCACGGCGCCTGGCACAGAGGGCTCTGATATGGGCGTCTGTGCCGTGTGGGTTGGGTGCCCATGCTGCATGGGTGGGGGGCTGGCATCCGCACCCCCGGGATGGGGGTTGGCCCCCATGCTGTGCGGGGGGAGGGGGGTTCATGCTGAAGGGGGGGCAGGTGGAAGAGGGGCAGGGACTCAGCGGCTGCCCTCCCTCCATCCCAGAGCACATCCAGCAGATCATGACCTTGGAGGAGTCTGTCCAGCACGTGGTTATGGCGGCCATACAGGAGGTGAGCTGGGGCCGGCTGGGTTTTGGGGGGGGGGGGGGGGGGGGGGGGGCACGTGGGGTCCGCGGGGGCCGGCGGGGTGGGGGGGGGAGGCTCTCTGGGGCTGGCGCTCATGGGAATGAGACTGATGCCTTTGGTGCTCCACACTCCCGACCCGCACCCCCTTGCTCTCTCTCACACACACCCCCAGTGCAAACCAGCACCATGGAGCCGCCGCCTGGCTCTGTGCTGGCCCATCTGTCAGCCGCCTCCTGAACATCCGTAACCTTTTCTCTCCTGCAGCTGATGACCAAGGACCCATTGGACACGTTGGCCTCCGAGACATACGGCAACTTCGATAGCCAGGTACCGTGCCTCAGTTTCCCCACCTGTAAAAGAAGGGAGAATTCTGGGGCTGTGGCCGTGACTTGCCAGGAGGGGGTGTGTGGAGCGTCTCTGGCTGCAGGGCTCCTGATCCCCCGCAGGGTGGGAAAGGTGCCGGGCTGGGGTCTGTCTGTGTGATCCCCCTTCTCTGACGTGGCCCCTCTGTCCTGCAGTCCCGGAAGTACTATTTCCTCAGCGAGGACCTGGAGGAACCGGACGACATGCGGCAGCGCTGCCAGGAACTGGAGCAACAGGTGGGCTCCTCGCCGGCCTGGCTCTGGGCTGGGGGGTGACTAGCCGGCTTCCAAAGGACCCCAGGCAACGCAGCTGTCTCTCGGCCCGGCCCACAGCTGCGCTCTCGGCTCCAGAGCCTTGAGTCTCCAGCTCAAGTTGTAGGGGCTCCGGGCGTCCCCGGTTCGATCCCTGCTGCAGCAGCTGTCGTGTGGGTCCGAGGAACCCGCCCACCCCCCTGATGGTCCCGTCTGCGCTCTCTGGGTGTCTCCTCCCCGGCTGGCTTGTGGTTGCAGTGTGTCCGCTCCGGGGCTGTGTGGTGTGTGGGCCTCTGCATCTTCCACCCCCCCAACCCCCCCCCAGTGGTGTAGCTCTGCTGCTGGGTATGTTTTGGGAGGGGTGGGGAGGGTTATCAGTCTGGCGAGGGATTCAGTCAGGACCCCTGCGTTCTCTGTACGGCTGGGGCCCTGTTGTGTTTGGTGCTGTACGTGCATTGAGCAGCTGTCCCTGCTCAATCTACGTAGCCGAGCAAAGGGTGGGGGGAACGGAAGGACTGTTCCCCCTGCTTCGGAGGGGGGAAACTGAGGTAGAGATGCAGTGACTCCAATAGGGAGGCGGTAGCAGAGCCAGGAATCGAACCCAGGCTTTCTGGTGGGGTGCCCTCAGCACAGATTGCCCGGCCGGGTCCTGTTGTTTGGCTCTGCCGCTGAGCGGCCGTGCAACCCTGGCCATCTCCCTGCCCCTCGGGGGTCCAACATGGCTACCCCAGAGCCAGGCGAGGCGTAGCAAGTGGCCGGAGAGACCCGGTATTAGCAATACGGCAATCGGGCTCCTGTTTACCTCCACCCCCTAATGTGAGAACGGATCCGCAGTGATATGAAGGCAGCAAACTGAACCGGGGGCGGAGAAGGAAACCCAGCTCTGTGCTGTGTATGCCTCCTGCAGCAAGGAGTTCCCCAGGTAGCTGAGCCTCTGTAGCCATCCTAGCGATTCCTCAGCTGTGTGTGCGCACGGAGGGGGCGGGAAGAGTCTGACTCCAGAACGAAGAGGGCTCCTGGGTGGCTCTAAAGCCCCTGACACTGACCAGGTGGAGACGCGACACCAGGATAGATGGGGGAATCCTCGCTCCCCGGTTGCAGGGGGTCAGGGTGGGTTTCCGCTTCAGATGTCCATGTAGCAAGAGCCCCCCCTCCCCCACCTTGCGGTGCGAAGCACAGTGGTCCCGCAACCGCCCGCTCTCCATAAACCGCCCCCTTTGCTCCCGTAAGGTGCTAACGTATCCCCGGAGACGCGGTTCCCCTGCGGGAAGGTGAGTTCGCCGTTCGCCCCCCCCCCCCCCCCCTCCCCCTGCGATAACAGAGCTACTGACAAAGGTGTGCAGCCCGTCGCGTTCGTTTCCTCTGCATGAGCATGTGTGTCGTGGAACTGCTGAATGCCAGCTGCTTAACACGGCCCTGGCCCGGCTCACTGACCTACTCACGTTCTTCCAGAGCTCCTGATCAGATCTCTGTTCTCCAGACTGTCTGCCCCTCTCCGCAAAGCCTGGGGGGCTCCCTGGGGGGGGGTCGACGTCTCTACAAGCGTATTGCTGAATTATGGGGGTTCCAAGGAAGGGGCCTAGAATTATCTGAGGCCTGGGAAAACTCTCTGTGGAAAGAGCGGGCTGCTCCTCTGTGATGAGCTGCAGTAAGGGGGGGCCGTGATAAATCGAATCTAAAATGACTGGGGTAGAGTAGTGAGGTGGAGAGCGTCTGTTCTCCCGTCTCCAGCAGCACCAGAGTGATGGGATGCTCAGGTTTGAATTGATGGCCTTCCAGTTTCGCAGATCAACAGAAAGATGCTCTTTCCCAGTCGTCGGCCTGTGGAACTCACTGCCACATGACGGCGTTTAGGCCACGAGCTATTCAGAAGAGGGGACTGGATGCTTGCGTGTCTAACAAGGGTAGCCAGAGTTAGACCAGCTAGTGCCACTGCTCCCTAGCTGTAGAGGACATCCAGTATCTGGGGGTCACCTACTCAAGGTGTGTGCCAGGCAGCCTGCCACGTCCTCTGCCCTGGGCTTGATCCCCCGGAGAGCGGTGACCCTGCCCTAAAAGGGTGGGAGTGCCTTGATTTTGTATCCCCATCCATTCTTTTCACAAAGGGGTACAGCCCACCCCGACGCCTAGAGTCAAAGACCTAACTCAGATGCTAGGCTTAGGGGAGCTCTGACCCCCTTGGGAGAGCCAGTAATGGGGAACCTTATCCCCCCTCCCCCCGGAGTCTACTCCTGTGGGTGGGAGGCTGTGGTGTAAGTGTGGCCATAGACAGCCTGAATCCAGGATACCAGGAAGCGCAGGGGCACGCAGCCGAGTCCCGAGCCATCCCCCCGCGCTGGCAGGTACGACGCTCCTGGGTGCATCGGAGTGGGTCCGAGGGCCCCACTGTGGAGTGGAAGATGCCCGGAGTTCACCAATTCTGCATTGCAAAGGCCCAGTCTGAGCACAGGGCTGGGAGCCAGGACTCCTGGGTTCCCTCCCCAGCTCTGACTGGTCTCGGAGGAGCCCTTTGTGTAGCCCCGCTCACGCTAGTGCACCGAGCATGGGGTGGGCAGAAGCAGCTGGCTCCGGGACACACCGAATCCAAAGGTTAGTGTGCTGAGGGGGGCCGAGGGGTGTCTCCTGGTCCCCACCGCCCAGGGGTTCTGACTCCCTCTCCCGGCCCGCAGATCTCCGTGCTGGTGGAAGAGAAGAACACCCTGACCCTGGAGAACAAGACCTTGAAGGAGCAGAAGAACCGGCTGGAGTCGGATACCGGCAGCAAGAAGCTGCTGCTGCTGCAGGCTCAGATCACGCAGCTGCAGGAGGAGACCTTCAGGTGGGGGTGGAGGGGAGTGGGGCCTAGGGGTTAGAGCTGGGGAGCCAGGACTCCTGGGTTCGGTTCCCGGCTCTGGGAGGGGAGTGGGGCCTAGGGGTTAGAGCTGGGAGCCAGGACTCCTGGGTTCGGTTCCCGGCTC